CCACAGCGACGCAATTCGGAATGCATATAGAGCTGGTCGGCACAAATAAAAATATCTCTCCGCTCCAACCTCGAAAATGCAACACGGCTCAACTGCACCCCCGCCGTGAGCGAAGGCCGACAAGCGTAGGGCGAGGATCCGTCCATCACCGCTTGCGGCTTTAATTAAAATTGTTATCCATGTTTATGTGTAAATAGCCCTTCAAATAAAACTGAAAAACTAACGACTTACTTAGAGATGTCTAACACTGAATGTGGTCAAACTGACCCTAAAGATAACAGGAGAGCTCAACATTAGAGAAAAATAAACCACATGCTTGAACCACATTCTGTAAAAAGTTTATAGCAACCAGGAGATCATATAACAATAAAATATTGTATTTGTTGGTTCCAGGTTTTAAAAGTTTTTGTAAAATGAGTCATGGATGAAATGTAGGTTCTGTTTTTTCTTTTATAATTTAACTTTATTTTCCTGCACAGAAGGGATTCTGAGTTATCTCAACATCAAGCCTTGATTTGGATTTTTCCATGAAGTGAAAAAAGAGCTGACGGTGAGTAAAAACACCCAGAAACCTTCTTCGTGTCCAGAGGGTTTAAAAACAACACACGAGGGAGCTGTTTCTATCGTTTCACCTTGAATGACTTGAGACCAGAACAAAGCGCGCCAAGTTAAACATAAATGTTTTAATGGTACTATTTACAAAAAAGAAAAACCAATTCTGCTTTTTGATTAGGTTAACTGCTGCAACAATCGAACAGGTACATTGACATCTTGCTTAACTACAAAAGAAAACAAAATAACAGTGACTGAATGGCTGTGGCATAAAAAGAGGTGTAAAATGAAAAACAACCATAGATTTTTTTTGCATAGCAATTAGTTACTTAAGGTGGAGGAGGAGGAGGAGGAGGAAGGGGAGGGTTGTGGGGGAGGTTATGTGGACGTTGTGGGGGTGGCAAAAAACAAAATCCAGTCAAATCTGATCGATCGGAGGAGGAGGAGGAAGTGAACAGCAGAAATTATTCCCTTGAAGAACCTGAGCTCGGGGTGGCTTCTAGGTGAGAGCTGCTACATTTGAAATGTTTAAAACCTGTCCAGCTGGAAAAGGAAGCGGGAGGAAGAGGAGGAGGAGAGGTGGAGGGAGTTGTTGTGTTTCTTTTGCCACAATGACTGTCCGCGGAGGGAGTGAAATTAGCTGCGATTTATTCCTCTTTTTTTATTTTTTCCATTTGTAAATCCAGTGGAAGTCTTACTTTGTGCTGTCGTGATAAGACTTAGCATGTTTCCGAGCATGCAGCAGCGCTTTCTGTTGGGCAAGTGCTCAAATTACACCCCACTCGTCTGGTGCCGCCTCCATCTTTAAAACGACCGAGGAGGAAGGAGGGGGAGGAGGAGGAGGAGAGGAGGCGGCGGTGGGAGCTCTCCAAAGAGACTGTCAAGGAATGATTTACTATTTTTAAAAAAAGAAGAAAAAAAAACAAACAACACACACAAAAGAATGTGTTACGCTGGAACAGACTGAACGAGATAAACGAACGAAACAGGTCAGGAATGGAGGAAACAAACAAAGAAAGCAAAAAAGAAAACCCAACGAAAACTAGACTTGGCAGTTGGAGAAGTGCTCTGGTGATTACAGGCGACCTCTAGAGGAGACGGAGGGAACCACATCGCAAATGTACCTGTTTATTTGGATGAGGATGGGGGGGG